AAAAAAAAAAAAAAAAAAAAAAAAAAAAAAAAAAAAAAAAAAAAAAAAAAAAAAACAAACAAGTGTCAATATTAATGAAATTTGTGATTTGTATGTACAACTTCGGTAATGGAAAAAAAAGTGTTTTATTGCATATAGCCACATCGATAAAATTTTTAAAATATTGCAATATCATATTCCCAGCTTATCTGTATCCCATAAAACTTTACTGAAATCAATTTCTCTGTTAAAAAACATTTTTTTATGTAACATAACCTTACTATTTAATTGTGTAAAAGTCAGTTCAGGACTAGATTGTATTTGTCAAGGTTGCCTGAGCTAAGGCTGCCTGTGCAGGAGCCTGAGCAGGTCATGTGCACATCGTTGGATAAAATTCCATTAATGCCTGAGCAGGTCCTGCGCAGGCAGCTCAGGCACCTNATTGTGTAAAAGTCAGTTCAGGACTAGATTATATTTGTCCAGGTTGCCTGAGCTAAGGCTGCCTGTGCAGGAGCCTGAGCAGGTCATGTGCACATCGTTGGATAAAATTCCATTAATGCCTGAGCAGGTCCTGCGCAGGCAGCTCAAGCACCTGTCCAGGACCTGTTCAGTGCCTTAACTCAATTTCTGTTCGGGTTCTACTACTACAACTACTACTTCTTCTACTACTACTACTACTACTACTACTACTACTACTACTTCCGGTGTGAAAGCTCAAACCACCGGAAGAAAGAGTGTCCAGGCCCAGCACGGTGCTTCCTTTGCCCAACAACGGACAACAAGCACGAAGCAGACTACTCTCCCTCCACGGTATGCGTTACCTTGTCGAAGACCGTACTGCTTGCAGCCTTGGTCGGGTTAGGGGGCTTTAAACTAACGGCATACCTCCTTTCTTACACGCATCTTAACTCCTTCATCCTTTCACATAATCCTTCAAACACTAACATTCATTGACACTGACATACTCTTGCAGCATGGACGCTTTAGTTCGCGTGCGGAGGCTTGCTGCCGCCCGTAGCACTGTGTCGGGCGGGAGTGGGTGGTGAGACTCGATGCGGTGACTGGGGAGGCCCGGGTATCTCTACCGCTGAAAAAGTTGGACGTCCGAAAACAAAAAAGATGTGGCGATCTTTTTAACTAAGTAATCTGGCCATTGACGGACTATATGGAGGGCACTATTAGTGCAGACCAGCTAGTACTCTTTCGCTCGGTCGGTGTTAACGATGTGGTGATTGTATTCGCCTCGGATCGTGGGCTGAGACTGGCACGAAGCAGAAGAACCACACCCTACACTCTCATAATACCTTATCACCGAGTTTGCTATTTCTGGGATCTCCTACAAAATAGTCCCCAGCCGAGGGTAGAAGGCTCGCCGTGTTTGCCGTGCGGTGCGACCCGTGAGCGGCCAAAGGGAGATCCTGGGCAGTAAGGCGATACCTAGGCTGCGTGCCGAAGTGACCCGAGCTGTCTTTGGCTCCTGCTGACTGCAAGACGGGAGGCCGGATTTTTAACCAGGCCCAGTCAATCAGCTAACACTGGGGAGGTCGCGGCCCGGGGCGGGCTGGTCGCGCTGCTGCTGTGGCCTTGCGGGCTTGGCGGGGGGCCTGTTGGGCTGGGTGGGTATGGGGGCGTGGCAGTTTTCTGCTCAGGTTCTGCTCCTTTTCGGCTTTTGCGGTTCCTCGTTGGGCTCGTGGGATTGCTGTCGTGGCGTTTCTGGCTTTGCTCCTCTTCGTGGCTCCCCCAGTGTGGTGAGTGCGTTCTGCCACGTGATGTCTGCCGGAAACTCTCCAGAGAGTGGATTGCTTCTAGTTGGGGCGTGATGCTCGAGGGAGTGGAGGTGGGCTAGCGTGGCAGGGCGTGCTATATCTTGAGGTTACCCACCCAGACCGAAACCGCCCTTCAGACATGTGTTGGGGGCGGACGGCAGCCTCCACCGGTGAGGGATCCAGATGGGTCGGTGGGAACCTTGGGATGAACTTTGTGTGTTTTAGACATGGCGCTTTTAAAATCAACCGGAGAAGGATTCAGTGGAGTCATTGATGTGAGGGAATTCCCTCCCATCAGTGATAAAAAGAAAAAGCCCGTTTGGGGCAGGAAGTTGGACGCTGCTGCTGAGGCGGCGTTCGACGACCTGGCCAGAGCCTTGGAGGGGCTCGAGACGCTCATGGTGAGGCATTCTAACACGGCAGGCACCAAAAAGACCAATTTCGTGGCGGCGGTGACTGCCATGGGGGTCCTGAAGCGCCTTCGGGAGCGGAACACGAGAGAGGAAGAGCTGCCTTTGGACAACAGTCAGGCAAAGGCTGAACAAGCAGAAAAGAGGAAGCGAGGACGAGGGGGAGAGACCCCCAGCCCTCAGCTGACGTCAGGTAAGGCCGTAAAAAAGGTGAAGGGGGCTGGACTCCAGCTGCGACCAGAGGGTGTTGCAGCAGAGAATCCAGCCAAAAAAGCTGAATGGACAGAGGTCCAAAGCAAGGATAAAAAAAAGAAGAAGTGAAACGCTAAGGAGAAAAAACCCAAGGGGGTACGGTAAAAACCCCTAAAACCGTAAAGGAGAGACGTCCCAGGGTCAGGCCTGAGGCAAAATTGGTTGTGCCAGCAGAAGGAAAGAAGTATGCCGAGGTCCTGGCCCTGATGAAAAGGGTCGACGTTGCCGTGACCGGGGCGAGCGTGGGAGCTGTCAGGGAGACGAGGACAGGAGGTTTCCTCGTCGAACTGAAGAATACCGTGTCCGAGCACCGCGATGCGTTCGCCGAGGCAATTAAAAGTGCCGTGACGGATGCGGGTGCCTTGGGTTCGGCCATATCTCTAACCAGTGTGGCGGGCCTGACAGAGCCGGAGCATGCTTCAGGTGTGGCAAAAAGGGTCACGTGGCAAGGAGCTGCTCGCAAAAAGAAGCGAGCTGCTACCTGTGCGAGAACGTGAACCCGGGGCTGGATACCAGACATGTCGCTGGGTCTGCCAGGTGTGGAGCTCTACGGGCGGCTGTGGGAGTAGCTCCGAAGAAATGGCGCTGATCCTGCAAGTAAACCTTGATAGGACCGTGCTCGCGCATGATCTGCTGTGCCAGATTTCCCGCGCCTGGGGTGCGGATATGCTCTTTATAAACGAGCCATCCCGCGCGCTACCGGGCCGGGGCTGGTACTGCGACAAGACAAAATGCGCAGCCATCCTGATTTGTAGCGACAAATTCTCCGTATCCGATATCGGAGGCGGAGATGGGTTCGTGTGGATCAGGTGTGGGGGCGCTTTCTATGTGAGTTGCTACATATCCCCTAACATCTCGATTGGTGTCTTTAGAGATCGGATTGCCGAACTCGAGGATGCTATTCGGGTGTGCAGGGAAAGTGGTGATGTTGTCCTGGCCGGTTACTTCAACTCCAAGGCCATCGCTTGGGGGGAGCCGAGAACCGACCCCAGAGGACGGGCGGTGTTAGAGATGGCCGCAAGGCTGGATCTCATCGTCATGATCTCTGGTGGTTCAGCAACGTTCAGGCGACCCGGAAGCCGGGGTACGATCATCGATCTCACACTGGTGTCGTCAGAAATGAAGGCGCGGGTGTCTGACTGGCAAGTCCTTGAGGACTACACGGCCAGTTATCACCAGTACGTCAGCTTCGTGATAAGCGAGGATCGTGGTGCAGGCTCGCGAAATGTAATCCCAAGGCGCGTTGCCGGGTGGAACGTAGCAAAGCTTAACCGAGATTTGCTGCTGAAAGCCATGGTTAGCGCGCCACCTCCAGCTGATTTGAACAAGATCACAAATTCAGCGGAGGCCGAGGCACTCGTGAGCGGTACTACGAGACGGGTCAAGGAATGGTGTGACGCGTGTATGCCTAAAAGGTCGGCCAGGAGAGGTCGATGTTCGTGCTACTGGTGGATCGAGGACATCGCTAACTTGCGCGGAGAGGCGCAGCATTTATGGCGTCTTGCACAGCGACACAGAACTCGCGAAGGCGCCGGGGCGGCTGTTGCCGCGTACAAGGAAGCAAAAAAAGCGTTGGTGAGGGCGACCGAGGTGAGCAAAAACCGATGCTGGCGCGAGCTCATAGATGATATAGATAAGGACACGTGGAGCCTGGGCTACCGGATCGCGTTAAAAAGACTTCGCGGTACGGACCCGACGCCGCCGATGGAACCTGCCTTTTTGGAGAGAGTGGTCTCTTGTCTCTTTCCGGAGCATCTCGCGAGAAGGCGAGAGGAAATAAGGGTTGAACGGGTCCCTCTCTTTAAGCTCGATGAATTGAGGTTGGTGGCATCGGAGACGCCGGGTCGAAAGGCCCCTGATCCGGACGGGGTGCCGTCTGAAGTCCTCAAGATAATAGCTGCGGAAAAGCCACACGTTTTGTTGGACATGTTCAATGCATGCTTGCGCGTTGGTCTGTTCAGCGGGCGTTGAAAGATCCAAAGGCTTGTTCTTTTGGACAAGGGCAAACCACCCCCCCTGGTCCCGTCATCATTCCGACCCTTAGGTATGTTAAACAATGCTGGAAAAATGCTAGAGAGGCTGATCAGAACTCGCTTGAGAGAAGAAGTCAGCCTCTCAGAAAATCAGTATGGGTTCTGTAAGGGGCGATCGACGGTAATGGCTGTGGCCGAGGTCCTCGAGTCGGTCGAGGAGGCATGGAAACCCTCTCATCAGACGAGGAGCGTCTGTGTCCTGGCGTTTCTCGACGTGAAGAATGCCTTCAACTCGGCGAAATGGTCCGACATAATGAGGGCCCTGAAGCGCCAGAATGTACCGGACTACCTGAGAAAGATCCTGGACAGTTACCTCCAGGATCGAGTACTCCGGTACGACACAAAGGATGGACCAAGAGAGAGGCGTCTGACGTCGGGAGTCGCACAGGGATGTGCCCTCGGCCCCGATCTCTGGAACCTCGTCTACGACGAGCTCTTACGCCTCGAAATGCCTCCGGGGGTCAAGCTGACAGGCTTTGCTGACGATATAGCTTTGCCAACACAGCGAAAATGCGAGAGGAGGCCGTGCGCAAAATACGGTGGGCGGTCGCAATAGTGTCGGAATGGCTCCGGGATCACGGTTTCGAGCTAGCTGTAGGGAAAACGGAGATGGTCGTCCTCACCAGGCAGAGATGGTTCGGGGAGGACTTTCGCCTGAGCGTTGCGGGTTCGGTGATCCGCGCGAGTCTGGTGGTGCGCTACCTCGGAGTGTGGATCGATTCACGACTCACCTTCGGGGAGCACATCAGAAGAGCAGCCGATAAAGCCGCTAAAGTCTCTAGGGCGCTTTTACGGTTAATGCCGAATGTTGGAGGCCCGCGGAAAGTTAAAAGGCGGCTCCTTGCGTCGGTCTTCAACTCGATCCTGCTGTATGGCATGAAGGTATGGGTGGACGCACTCGCGAGGAAGGATGTCCGAGAGGGCCTAACTTCGATGCAGCGCATCGAATCCTTAAGAATCGCGTGTGCATACCGTACGGTCTCCTCTGCTGCCACTATGGTGATAGCACGAACGATACCCGTCGTGTTGCTTGCGCGGGAGCGGCAAAGGAAATTCCTGGGCTCCGGCGACCAAAGCGATAGCGACAGACGGGGGGAAACGTTGACGACGTGGCAACAGGAGTGGGATCAGGCGGCAGTGGGTAGATGGACGCACCGCCTGATTCCGGACCTGCGGCCATGGGTGAAAGAGGTCATGAGGAGGTAAACTACCACCTCACCCAGTTTCTCTCCGGGCATGGTCAGTTCGATGCCTATCTCCACCGCATGGTGGTGAAGGCAACATCTAGGTGTCTTTACTGCCCTGTGCTGGACGATACCGTCGAACATACGTTCTTCGTGTGTGAGAGATGGCACCTTGAGCGCCAGCAGCTGGTGGACGGGATGGGCGGGGCGGCTACTCCCGAAACCATCAACTGTGAGATGCTCAGCAGCGAGGAGGGGTGGACGGCAGTGAATGGCTTCGTCAGGTCAGTCCTCCAGCAGAAGAAAGAAGAGGAGAGAGCCGCCGTGCTGGTAGCAGGGGTCCCTGAGTAAAAGATGCGGACTCAAATTGTGATGAGTATTTATACCCATCAGCAAGGGAAAGCATCATTGAAGCGCTAGAAGACGGGTGCCGGTCCTCAGGGACCCCGGGTCCTTTTCAGGACTTGAGGGGACTGGCACCTCTAGCAACTGGTGGCGAGCTTGCTCGTTAATGCTGTGAGACGCGATGGTCTCCCTGGTGGCTCCACCCTGAAGTAATGCTAACGCGGTTTCAGGGTGGATCATAAGCCACGCGGCATGGGATGCGGTTTTAGTGGGTATGGGTGGTCTAATAAAAAAAATCCACTGAGTACCACACTACCGCTGTCCCTGCGGTGTGACTCAATGCATTTTGCCTCCCTCCAGAAAAAAAAACAAAAAACAAAAAAAAATTTGATGCATAATATACCGACCAATTTCGACTAAACCTAAGGTTTTTTTGGGATTACAATGATTTTTATAATTACTATCATACATTGATTACTTTATAAAATAATTTATTCAAATAAACATATACGATAAAGTTTTACAATGTATCAATGGTTTTCAAGATTTTGAATTCAACTAACTATTAATGTTACAATGTAACATGATTATACAAATATAGTTATATATTACATCGTTGATAAATAAATTATGTAAGATTATGAGATATGTATATTTGGCGTTAAATATCATTTAAATGGTTGTTAAGGGCGCGTATTTGGCATTTGGATGAACAAANACATGAGGTGACGATGGGCAGCTGGGGTGGCTCTCTGTGGTGGTGGTTGGGGGCGTTAATCAGGGGGTGTGTGGCGTTGGCGTGTGTATCTGCGGCGATGTGGACAGGGGACTATTGCCCCATGCCTCCATCGGTGTGGATGCATGGGCCGGCTCTGCTAGTGCTCCTTGTTCTTAGCCTTTTGCTGCTTCCGTAAGTGGCACCCCATTGATTGATGCGGGCCAACAAGAACTAGCGCCCGTCACGTATAGAAGTAAGTGGCGGTTAAAACATTTTTCACAGATACATGCATCACACACTCTCCCTAAACTAACACAGGGACACTTACGGATTGTCCTGGGTTGCGTGTGGCGGGTCTTTTTCCGGGCTTGCGTTGGAGGCCTGGCGACGGGTAGAGCCGGATGATGAGGCCCCGGTAAATCTGAGTAACCACATCTGATATGGCTGTACGCCTCATGAACAAAAAAGACGTGGTGGGCCGACTAATTTAGGCTTACTACTACTGCGGAGACTACATGGCGGCACATGAACACCATTTTTACACTGGTTACTTAACGCTAGGGCAGTCTCCGTGGGTAGGACTAAGGGACATGGGTGACTCCCGGCCGGCCCGAGCAAGTAGCGGTTTTCTTTGGTAACAGAGAGGGCTGTTGCCCTGGTTTTAACCCTTTCCAAATACTCATTTCTAGAATAAAAGGGTAGTGCTGGCCTTCGCGGGTCAGTACGATATTAAAAAAGATGCCAATATGAAAAACGTTGATGCAAAACGAGTACCCTAGGCGGTAACCTCTCTGAGGGAATCCGCCGGCAGTTCCGATCTGGTGAAAGCCCGGGTGACTGACGCAGGCCCCACGGATTTTGGGAGAGGGGTGCACAGAGACGTGTCTCATGGCCAACAGGGACTGCTAAATGTTCCATGGCCTTTTCTTACAGACAAAGGACGAAGAGAAAGCCTGTCGAGTATAGGCACTAACAACACCGAGGTTAGACACGTGTCAGTATTTAGCCACCAGACCCAGGAAGAGCTTGCCTCTTTAGAAGAAAGTGTCACTAGGCTCGAAGTAAAGTGACAGCAAGTTGCTGATAAAGTCCAATTAGCAACAATTGACGCTGCAGAGACGCTACAACTGATTAATGATAAGTACAACAACACAGCGAACGCTGTTAAAAATGGGCTCAAAGCGGCGCTCAAGCATCTTTAAGAGGCAGAGGTGCTTAGAAAAGGATGTCTTACTGAAGAAGATTTGTGTACCAACGCTTGGAAGTGGTCATTTAGATCCTTGCAGTGGAGGAAAAAAATGAGATAATTTCCGACAGCATGTACAAAAACAAACCCTGAACACTGCCTTAAAGAAAATAGAACAAAGTAAGAGAAACAGGAGCCCTACAGACAGCCCTGAGAAGCGCCAGCAGGCTATGTCTCCGAAAAAAAAAAAAACAGGCAGTGGCAAACAAGATGAAATTCCACTGAATGACAAAACAAGCCGGAAGAAAAGAGTTGACGCCACAACAACAGTAGTAGTGAAGATGGCTGAAGGACAGACCTTTGCAACGGTGCTGAAGACTATAAAGGCAAACTTTGACTTTGATAAGGCTAAAGTGGCAGTCCAAAGTGTTGTCACTACAAAAAAAGGAGACATACTTATTAAGGCCAAAGGTGTAGAGAATGCTGCTGCATTCTCACAGCAAATTAAAAAGTCGGTAGCCGGACAGGGTACTGTCAAATTAAGCGACAGAAAAGTGACATTAGAGGTCCGAGACCTGGATGCCATTGTAGAGGAAGATGAGGTCAAAGAGGCCTTCGCTAGGACTTTTGGACATCAGAGCCAGGAGCCAGAAGTTGCTCTCTTGAAGCCAAATGCCAGAGGACAGAGGCTGGCTTTAATAAAGGTGGACGAAGCATCTGCCAGACACGTAGAAAAGGAAGGCAGGTTACGAGNACTACTACTACTACTACTACTACTACTACTACTACTACTACTACTACTACTACTACTACTACTACTACTACTACTACTACTACTACTACTACTACTACTACTACTACTACTACTACTACTACTACTACTACTACTACTACTACTACTACTACTACTACTACTACTACTACTACTACTACTACTACTACTACTACTACTACTACTACTACTACTACTACTACTACTACTACTACTACTACTACTACTACTACTACTACTACTACTACTACTACTACTACTACTACTACTACTACTACTACTACTACTACTACTACTACTACTACTACTACTACTACTACTACTACTACTACTACTACTACTACTACTACTACTACTACTACTACTACTACTACTACTACTACTACTACTACTACTACTACTACTACTACTACTACTACTACTACTACTACTACTACTACTACTACTACTACTACTACTACTACTACTACTACTACTACTACTACTACTACTACTACTACTACTACTACTACTACTACTACTACTACTACTACTACTACTACTACTACTACTACTACTACTACTACTACTACTACTACTACTACTACTACTACTACTACTACTACTACTACTACTACTACTACTACTACTACTACTACTACTACTACTACTACTACTACTACTACTACTACTACTACTACTACTACTACTACAAAAAAAAAAAAAAAAACTAATACTACTACTACTACTACTA